AGCTTAGGAAACAAAAATCTTTAGCAGGGCAAGGATTGCAACACAGAGTTTGTGGCTTGCCAAAAACATTTATCTAACAACATTTTCTCACTGTGTTAAATAGAAATGTACATTATGAGGTAACATTGGCATTTGTTCACCCATTGTGCCATTGTGTTCAATTATTATTTTAGGGCTCCAGCTCCTTTCACTGTAAACTAAGGATGTGCATATTAAGCTTTCTTTGTGATATATGTGAAATTCAAGTTAAAGAAATTGTGGAAAATTCGGAATAGTTTTAAGATTTGTGTATTTCTCATGTTCTGGTAGTGAAAACCAATTGCCAGATAAACTAGATTAAGCTATAAGAGACAGATCAAATAAAAAATATTCACCATTGGTAATCATTATGTGAGCCATGTACTGTATAATTTATTTTCATACAATTCTTCTGTGATTTTACTCAAGAAACTTGTCCGAACAACCAAATAAGAACTTGCCAGTACTTTACAGTCCCAGGGACTTTTAGACTCTGAGAAAAACTGTGACCTGATTAAAATCTCTCTTAAGGACAGTATGTTTGGTATATGATATTTAACAGCAGTAAACACACTACACCCAGTGCAGGTAAACATACATCCTGACTGAGCCCTGTTTACAAAAACTGTCCACAGCAAGGGAGACCAACAGGGCAGAGGCAGACATCTCTTCTGCAAGGAGGTTCAAAGGAGCTCTTTGTACAGCAGATGAAAACATCTATCGTAGGGGGTGTTTAGAATATTGCATGTCCTGCCACAGATCCCGGAGAGAAGAGAGATCACTTATGTCTGTAAATGAGGCCGAGGGAGCACAGGTAGTCATTACTCAGAGGAAACAACTGTTTCTACCTCTTACTCACATACCTCTCTCCTTCCAATACCCGCAGGCCACCATCAATACCGCCCAACTCGACAGCTATCATAGACCACTTGACGGTCTCCACCCATGCTCAGAAGTTCACTGTCAACGCCTGACAAACACACATCTGCACAGCTGTAAATGCCCTGTAATATAGAACCAGAAACACCTCCTTGGTCTGACATCTCAATTCCGCTCCGTTCTCCCTCTAGTCTTCCTGTCAAAGTTTTTGATATCTTGATTCAGGCATGGCACTGTGGAGGTTGTGGAACAGGGTTCATTAGAAAACACCTTTGCAAAGGAGTTTTGCACCTGGGCACATGTGCATAAAGTGA